ATGGAGGGGATTATAATCAATGTAATGAACAAGGTATATGATTTGTTGACTATAAACCTGATGATATGCCCTGTAAACTTTCAATCAATCCACAATAAAAACCTTAAATAATAATTTAAAAAAGACATTAAAAAAAAATGTTCATGGAAAAAACAATGAAAAGATAACGGAAGTCTTCATGAACTTTTTGAAGCTCTTCAAATAATCATTTTTTAAAACAAAAGTAAAGAAATCTGTTTAAAAATAAATGGCAGTGTTGAAAAATCACACTGTTATACTGTTAACGGCATAATAAAAACATGAGCTCCCACCTCCTTTTGAAGAAACACGAGGTTAAATTCCCTTTGGTTGCTGGAGACAGTCCTCTGTAAGTTCTGTCCTGGTAGGAGTATCTGCGCGAGCTGTCGGACGAAATGGAACCAAGGAAAGAATGGAGGCCTTTTGCTCCCTAAGCAGGAAGCTGATTTGGGACCGGTTCCAAGTTCTGGGGAAGAACTGTTTTCTAGCACTCAATAGAATCTCACCCCCACCCCCTAAATTCAGCACTTAATCACTCCCAGAACAGGTTCTCATATCCATACACCACATTTGATTTCTCCATCAGTTCCTCTTTAGCTCTGACTCAGTTTGGAAATTGTGCACCTGGCTTGATTCTTCTCAAAATCAGTCAAATCTAGTTTTGTCCAAAAGAGAAGAGATAGTAATTTGCATTCGGAGATTCTTTCTTATTGCATCCATACGTTATTTTAAGGAACTTGAACATCCATGAAAACTGACATTTATTCCTCTTTCCAATCCATCAATGTGGTGGCCTTGCACTATTACCCCAATTTGCTTTAGTATAAACCAGTTTCAATTCTACAGTGAGAGCACTACTTAAAGTGTTAGGAAAGCTACCATGTTTATGTATCAACGTCAGCGTAGTCATAAAGCACTTGCTGCCTTTCAAATGTGGGTACTTAATTAAAGCAAATCCATTAAGAGTGTAAGTCAGCAAAGATTCCCTCAAAACAGGGCAATGCTGCCGCCTTCTTATGTTTCTCTCAATATTTTATTGTGAAAATTTTCAGGCGTACAGAATTGTTGAAAGACTTTTGCAGTGAATATCCCTAAATTCTACAGTCAACATTTAGTTATACTGGGTAAAGTCTTCTTAAATTACAACCCAGGTATATCTAAACTCTGAGGATCAAAAGCAGCATTTCTTATTATTTTAGAGCGAGTATGGAACTCTAGTTCTGGTATTAAAATTACAGAAAGAATTTTTAACCTTACCCAAGGATCAATCAAAAAACTGTTGTCAAAATGAACTGTTTTTTTCTAGACTCACACACACACAAAAAAAATTTCTCATTCTTCCAAAGAAAATAGTTCTTTTGAGAGAATGAACCAAGCTGCTAAATAATATAACAAATGAAATGGTCTAGAAAGTGACAAAAAGATTTCCATTATAGAAAGCCTGCATTCTTTCATGCTTCCTAAAGCAGGGACTACAAGCTCTTGCCCTCCTATTTTGTTAATCCGATGTTGGACACATCCCCTGCACTAGGACACCAGCACACGGCTGTGCATATAGATGTGGTCTGACCAACTGCTTTGCTGGGTAAAAGAGAATAACCAGTAATCTATAACTGAGCAGGCCATACAGATCCACTGCTTACTATCCCCAATGTACATGATGCTGCTTTATCATTTCTAGCCTGTTCAGTTCTAAAACTGCAAATTCTCTAGCAGAAAATGCACAGGTAGTAAAATAGTCCCTAGGGACACAGCAATGAATGGCAGGAGGCTTGGGCCAGCTCTGACTGGAATGCACATGGTAAGATTTTACACAAGATATCAGCTGCTAGCCTAGGAAAGGCTTAGAATTTCAAAGGATACATTTAACTTTTTACTCTGTTTCAGTTCACTGTTCAGAAGCCATTCAAGTGATTTGTGTTTTGAGCAAATGTTTATGTATACTAACGCTCATCTCCAAGAACATGAAACCATTTAGAAACAGGATTTTACTTGTCTTCACACTGCTGAAGCAGAAGTCATAAAACATGGTTTCCAATGAACAAGAGGAACCGAGGCACCAATCAGTGGCGTGCCTGGTTCAGGTAACAATCTGAATCACACCTGTAACTGGGAATGTAACCTGATATCCTGATTATTACCAATACCAGAAAGAAACTCTCAAACAGCAAAATAAAAGAACAGCAATCCTCACAAAACGATACTATATTGGTTGAAGCTTAAAATTTTAATGATGAAACATATACACAAAATTAAACAAAAAAAAAAAGCTTGCTGTCAGCTGAGGTCTGGTTCACAGACAGCTCTCCTTCCATCAATGTCTTACTCGCCCCTGTGCCTGATCACCAGGCATCATGAAGTGGGGGCTGAGTGGACAACCTGCAGTGGACAGGACAGTTGTGTCCGTGGGAGTCCCGTGTACTGGGATCACAGTCACTCGAGAAGGCTGAGTTTCCACTGCGTTCTTTTGTTGATCTTTGGCGGTATGAAAAGCTCAGCATCTAAAAGTAAGAAAGGGAGACTGTGATAGACACAGTGTCTCTTGTAGGTGAGGTTTGAGGCAGTCACTATGCTATACAAACAAGGTGACTGGGTTTTACAGCTACCAGATGACCACCAGAGCCTGAGGTAATGTGTCTGTTACCCTGACAAGCTCTTGGTCAGAACAAACGCAGTCTGGAGGCACTGCCCTGAGAAGAGGAACTGCTTTGCTCTCTTTTTTGGCACTGGAAGAACAGAAAGGAAAAAAATGCAAACGGACTGTTTCAAAGTGGAAGAAGGTTCTGGTTCTCAGGGAGCGATACTGGTGGTTCCATGGGTGTAGATATTTATCAAAACCCATCAGCTATACTCCAAACATCTATGCATTTCATTATATGGAAATGTTACCTAAATTTTTAAAATATAAAAAATATAGTAGTAATATAGGACAATTCAATAAGTAAAGCTAGTGGACAAAATATAATTTATGATTAAAACGTTTACAAACATTTATTATTAAAAATTTCTCTGTTATGAAAAAAAAGTGAATGGGGAGCTAGGGAAAATCCTGCCAGAACCTAGAACTTTTTTTCAGAAAGTGAGAGAGTTCTGTGGAGCCTTTTATCTAAGTAGGAACCATACGGGAACAGATATGAGAAAATCCGTTTATGTGACATGCTCTTTCTTAGCATTATGATAATAAAACTTAGTAATACATCTGTGCAGTGAGTCAAAGAAATTAAAATCTCTTTTCAAAGGCTAATAATGTGAAAAAAAAAAAGCTCAAGATAAAATGTCTTTAGACAGCAGGACACAAAACACATCATGATCATTACTGTATACATATACATGTATGCACACACATACATGTATGTACTCACACACTTATTTTGTGTAACTAGGAGGAAAATGCCACACAGCAAACTTTTTCTTGGTACTATTATTCTAAGTGATTGTAATTTTCTTTGACTTACTTTTCATGTACAATCCTCTCTTCTAATGTCCATTTTATAATTACACATATACACTTACTACACACAATTATTTCTTCCCCACCAATAAACACAAAAACTATACATAAAAAGACCAAAGGAGGTCTCGTGATGTAAGAATACTAATAATACTTTTGCAAAAGGCAATTTAAATAAATTCGCTTTCAGAAGCGCATAGTTTCATGTTGAATAGGGAGGTCTAAATGACACTACCTTAAAAACTGCAGAAACAAGTTATGAAAATAAAATATTCAATCTTAGTTTTAAAAGTTGGGCATGACTACAATCATCTTTGATTGAAAGACTTAACTAAGAGTGAATAGCAAATACTGAATCTTTGGCAACGAGCTAATTACTCTGACAAATCTCATGATAGAAGAAACATGACTCCTTTCACATTTCCATGTCTGATTTTCACAGCACAAAAAGTGCTTTTGACAAAAATACTTTGAAAGTTTTATCAATTTTTTTGAGTATGTCTCAATCCTCTGATAGTGAAATCATTCACATTTGAAACACTTCTTTTGTTATCGCTGTAACAAGTCCAAATCAGCTATGATTCAAAGACTTCTCCAATATCATTTGATTCACTTTATGAAATTCTACATTTTTGCAGAACGTGCAATCCATTTGCATGATATTTGTATTGCATTATAAACATTAAACAATCCAAGAAAATGACCCAGAAGTCACTGATCCATTCATGGGCAGGTATGAGCATATATTTAACCACTGATGGCAGGAAAAGAGGTTAGAGCAGAGTTCGTGGTAGTGGTAATGTGTTGTGTAGTCTGTTCCGACACATAGCAACCCTCTATAGGGTTTCCGAGGCTGTAAGTCTTTACGGGAGCAGAAAGCCTCATCTTTCTCCCGTGGAACAGCTGGTAGTTTTGAACCGCTGATCTTAAGGTTCACAGCCCAATTTGTAACCACTACACTACCAGAGCTCCTTTGAAACACAGTTGAGAGGGACTAATTTTTTATACTTACAATGGGGTTTCAAAACCATTCATGGAAAAATGCAATGAAAATATAATGTAATTTTTCCACAAACTTTTTGAAGCCTCCTCATACTTTAGATTATAAGACCTTCCTTTTTTCTACACAGCCATGTAATGACAGGGTTTGGAAAATAAACACTCAAATCATGAGGCTCCCTCCACCTTCAAATATTAAAGAGAGATTCTTTTAAGGTTCAGCTAGAAAAACGGGACCTCTTTGATATAGTAAAGACATCTAACATACTCCCAGGACAGGGGTGACGGACCTAACCTGAATGTTAGCATCAGGCCAGCAGTGACCAACACAAGGAGCAGAAATCAAAACTAGAATGGACAACTGGAATGGACCAAACTCTCTCAAGTCTAAGATGAATGTGTAGATTTGGAACTGTGTGTGTATTTTGGGACTGATCCAGCTTACAGGAAGAAGAGTACACAGAAATCACTGTCAGGATGAAAAGAGTTTAGTGGAGCTAGAAGGTAGCTGTTCATCCTCGGTAGCAACATATGCTGTTAAAGGTAAACTTAATTTAAAGCCCCAAAGCCTACCTCAAATTTCATCAAAATACTAACATTATAGTGCAGCATTTAAATGGAAAAACAAAACAAAACAAAACAAAAAAAAAACTCAGCCTGCTGCTTGTAAATCCTAGAAAATCCAAATCGCACCAAGAAAAACTGCCAATTATTTTAGAATACATCATTTCTTTCTGAATGCTGAGAGAGGCTGGAATGCTTGATTGCTTCAGCTGGAGTGCAAACGCTCAGGTACCAAATTAATGAGTCAAAAGCTGCTAGCCAACTTTCCTAAAAAACACTGAGTTGGTTCTGACTCTTATAGGCACTGAATAGGGTTTCCAAAGAACCCTATTGGTGGTTTGAACTGCTGACCTTGTAGTTGGTAATCTAGTGCTTATTCTACAGTGCCACACCAGGAATCTTTTTTTAAAAAAAAGAGAAAAAGTTTGTTGTTATGTGCCGTTGAGTCAATTCCGACTCATAGAGACTCTGTATAGCGTTTCCAAGGAGCAGCTGTGGGTTTGAACTGCCAACCTTGTAGTTAGCAGTCCAGAGCTTATCCTACAGCGCCACACCAGGTATAAAGGGAAAATAGACTGATTGAGAACTATGTTACCTCCAAACAACAAACAAAACATTTTAGGTTTAACCAAATACAGTTGTATTCTTAAACCATACTTCAACCTGTATGCTGAGCAAATAATCTGAGAAGCTTCATTACATGAAGAAAAACGTGGCATCAGGATTGGAGGAAGACTCATTAACAACCTG